TCTTTTGTTTCTTAGTTTGTCAGATTATATTCGAGAAAAAAGACAATCCCTTCATCTTCATACTATTGATCTAAACAATCAATTCGATCTAAGATATGAGCTGGAATACTTTCTCTCTTCTTTCTTAATTTTTAATCAAAGGTGTGAGAAAAAATGAGAGTTGGTAAATCTATCTTTTTCTGCGCCGTTCTAACTATTCTTTATTGTTTTACAAACAATAAAAAGTTAAAAATATTTTTATATTTAACTAAATAATTCATAGTTTGAAATCTATTGTCTGATAAGATGAGGGAAATAGATGAAACATTAGAATTTTGAAGATCTCTCTTCTTCTCAAATGAAATATTTCTATGAAAAATAAAAACAAAGTTATTTCATTTATTTCAATGAAGGTCGATATACTTCTATTTCAAATTTGTTTTTCTTTACAGAGTATCTACTCTTCGCAATTATAGGTGGATCATTAGAACATCATCCACTTGTCAATAGATCAGAGATTATACTATATCTACATTGGAATCTATGATCGTTAGGATCTCTACACATCTAATATTCTCACATACAAAAACATAGGAAAGTATTTATAGAAAACTTGTATATTAATGCATGAAAAACTCTGTTATGTCCGAACAAGAATGATGAAAATGACTGAACTTAGAAAGAGAAAGTGCTTCTTCAGATAGAAGATTGGAATTTTTATGGGAAAAACTTTTTCATCACTTGATTATTCACTTCTATGAGAATTGTGCATTGAAAACTATTGTATTATGATGATTTGCATCTCTATCTTCACAAATATGAACAGTCATTAACAACAAAAAAAACCAGATGACGGAAATTAATCTTGAATTGATAATCAAAAATGAATTTTTTTCAATTCGAAAAGATTGTAATGAAAGATCCAATGGATAAAACAAATGTCTTCGCAATGATCAAATCTATGATAAAGATAGTTTTGTTGTTCATTTGATCGAAAAATGTTTTTTTTTTCTTCTCAAATCAAATCTTATGTGATAGGATTACATTTTTTCAATGGTCTTCTCAATAAAATATGAAGAATTCTCTTTGAAAATCGTTTAATTTTTCTTCGTTTTATGTCAATTAAAAACAAGTTCGATTGACACATTTTCAGGAAAAAAAATATTATCTTTCTCAACATTTGAAAATACTTAGGGTTAACACCAAAAGTTCTGATCACGACGTTTCACATTTTGTGGATATGGGTGTGGTTGTTTCTGTTTTCGAGCTACAGCCACTACCCACACCCACCCACACTCCAAAAACAATTATCTGAGAGATAGTCTGAAAATTGCTGAATGCAAAAAGTGTTGATGACTATTTTTCTAAATGTATCAAATTTTTGCACAAAATTCAAAGTAAATAAAATGAACATTATATGATTTGATAGAGTGATCGATGCTCTATCTGATCATATTAAAACGAGAAATTTCTCTGGTTTTGTTTCAGTATAACGAACTGCACAGAACTGTTAAAAATTATATGGAGTCAACCTATGTTGGTGTGGGTGTCGTGAAAATAAGGCACACACTCTCACCTACAGCCTGCTTTTGTTGAAATTGGAGTCGTCTACAATAGAAATACCGAAGTCAAGACAACTGACTAAACGTTTGTATATAACACAACGCTTTCATATCAATATTTCGTTATCTCTTCTCATTGCCTTATACTTTACCGTGTTGCTGACTAAATTAGACGGTGACACACTTCTGTTGCACAAGAAGAACGCAATATTTCCCCATCAATTTATATATAGTAAATGCTCCATGAAAAATTCTAATTCACTACAAATTAATAAAACAAAATGGATCGTTCTCAAGTTGCATCGATTTTACATGAACTTAATTTAAATGAAAATTCTGTGGCAAACATTTACCATCATGGTTCATGGGTATATGGCACTAATACACCTACATCTGATCGAGCCCTTATCATAGTCACCCGTTCATCTGATCAAAAACCAGTAAAATTTCGTAATGATTTTGATTATTTTCATGAATTTGAATTACATAAATTATGGAATCAATATGACGTTTGTGTATATTCAATTGAAAATTTTGAAACTCTTTTAGCAAACAGCTATTTATGTGTTGTTCAATCTATATTTTTACCTAATGAATTTAAAATTAAAGAAGAAATTAATTTTCAATCAATTTATCTTGAAAAATATTATAATAAATTTCAATTAAAACGAGCTGTATTTTATGAAATACATCGAGATTTTAGTTTGTATGAATCTGAAAATTTTCAAAACATACAAAATTGAGTTCAAGATCAATTGAAACAAAACAATTACGATTGAATTATATATTGAAAAATTTATTTCATGGTTGTCGATACTTAGATTTTACTGAACAATTGATTCAAACACGTTCCATACATAATTTTAAACGTGTTTCGCATATATTTAATCAAATGAAAAATATATGTGGTGATCCAATAGATAATTCAGATATGAAACGGTAAATAATAAAAATTGTTCGTTTATAACTTCGAAAACAAAAATCATTTTCGTCTTTTTCAGTGTAGCTGATTTTGCTCGTATAAAAAGTGACTAATTGAAATCAAAATTAGACGTACTAGTACCAACAAATACTATTCAGGAAACATTTGAAGCACAAATTACATTTGATTGCTCAAATAATACTGACCGAATAATAAAAAAACTTGAAAACGAATGTGAAAATACAAAATATAAAATTATTTGTATTGATTCGCACAGAAAACGAAGACATAGTAAACTACAACAATTAACGATATCATCACATTATTATGGTCAATATCCATCAATCGTTAAGCATATTGAAGAAGAAGTACACAAACAATTTCAAGATTTTAATATAATACGTATTAAAATTGAGTCATCAGTATCGAATGAAGGTATTCCAAAAAGAAGTATAGATAAAAGATTATTTTGGGATGAAACAACAAATTATTTCGAATTTCATTATACAATCATGGAGAGAAAAGATCGTAAAGGAGATAACTTAAGCAAACTTCGAGACGTATGCCGATCGAATCATAAATTTGATTTACGTTTATCACATAATACGCTAAAACGATTCGATAATAAACAAGTAACGTACATCGTCAAGCGATTCACTTAGCCCTAGACTGATAGAATACATGTACGGATGTAATAGCATAAAAAGCTACATTAAAAAAGTAATACGCAAAATTGATAATATGACCAGTATATCTTAGACGAGCAGAAAACTTAATTTGGAGAATTCTCACTCTAAGTAAAGATAATGCATTTACAAATTTAATTTTTTTTGTCGTTTTTGTTTTATTTGTTTTTGCTTTTGCTTTTATAAATATAAATAGCGCCGAATAAGATTAGACAACAATACGATTTTTTTATAATTATTTTGGCGCTATTTGTACGTACAAAAATATGAATTATATTATTCATAAAATTTGAGTTTTATTAATCAATATTTTATGCTTAAATTCACGCATTAATTCTAAACTATTAATAAATTAGATATTCATTGATACAACATAGCACAATCAATCCTACAATAATAAATAATTTAAACGATTTCTTTAAATCCATACTGCTCATTTGGTCTGACTCTCACTAATTAAATGCTTTTGTAAGCCGTTTTACACCACTACCCGAATTATAGTTATTTCATTGACATTTTACCGATGATTATTATGGGTTCATTTACATCATTCTTTAGATGGTCATTTGTACCATAGTTACCGGAATAGTTGTTTGTACCATAGTTGCTATATGATCACCTGTGCCATAGTTACGTGGTCGTTTCTACCAAAAAAATCACCGTTTGTGCCATAGTTACATGCTCATCTATACTATAGTTACCTAGTTAATTTTAGTAAAAAAATGGCCGCTTGTGCCAAAAAAATGGTCATTTGTGCCAAAAAAGCGATCGTTTGTGCCATAAAAATGGTCATTTGTGTCATCAAATTCGTCATTTCTGCCATGAAAATGGTCATTTGTGTCATAAAAATGGTCCTTTGTGCCAAAAAATGGTCGTTTATGCCAAAAACATGGTCACTTGTGCCAAAAAATGACTGTTTGTGCCAAAAAAATGGTCATTTGTACCGCGTTACCGACAGACAGACGGACAGACAGACAGACACAGGTGAATTTACGTTTCTAGACCCTAGCCTTTCAGTCTAGGGAATATGTAATAATTCCAATTGTTCTAGTAATGATAATTTAAATAAAGATGCATTGAATTTTTTACCTATTATAGAAAACAACATTACAAATATAGAATTTAATAATAAAATGGAAAATAATGAAGCAATTGAAAATAACGATACTTTATTTTCTAAAAATGGTATTGTTATTGAACTTAATAAATCAATTAAATATGATAATATTCTAATTAATGAACCTATAAATAAACAAAATATATATAGAAATGAATTATTAATTGATAATAATTATAACGTCAATATTAAAGGTATTGATATAGATGATTCAAATAAGTTAATATTGTTAAATAGTGATGATAATAAATATATATCAAGTAAATCAGTGAATGATAATGTACAAATGAATGTATGTTCAAAACTAAATGAAATCAATAGTAATACAGCAACATTACGTAAATCAGATAGATTAAAAGCAAAACAAGAACAAAAGTATAACTTACCCGAGACTGATATATCACAAAATGAATATAAATCAAGTGACCATAGAAAAAGGAAGAAAATGAAAAAGAAAAAACAAAAGGAAAGTACACAAAAAACATGTGACAATGTTAATAATGTACAGGAACAACAAACTCGTTATGAGTCAGCCTTAGCACAACATATTATGGAAGAAAAGCATAATATAGATTGGTTGAATAGCAAAGTCATTTGGAATGATAATAATCCAGATAAATTATTAATTAAAGAATCTCTTATGATAAAAGCATTCCAACCAAAATTCAACCGAACTACAAGATCTACTCCTTTGTATATATTTCCTGAAGGTTTATCAATGAGCTTATTACCAAAAAGACTTCAATTTTAAATTAATACATGAATGATTTTAAAAATGCAATAATATAAATTAATTTAAATGAACCTTTATAATTGAATCTTATTGTTCTTTTCTTTTTATGTTTGTAAAATGTAAGATTCTTGATAATGACCTTTTAATTGGGTCGAAATGTCGATTTTTATTAATAAATAAGTAATTTAATTATTTATTTCTATTTTTTTATTAATTGAATAATTAATAATAATGCTATATAACTCCGCTGTGTTTCTTAAATATATATGTAAATTATTGCCCTTAAAAATACATAATGTTTCTTTTTCTTCTTAAAATTATATTGTTTATTAAATTTTTATTAGAAGAAAACAGAAAACAATAATCTTATAAATATACATAGATAAATCTATCGATCAAAGAAGGATCAGAAGAAAACGGAAAGATAATATAAAAGAGCAAAGAAAATGCGTGATGCGCTTGAATGATATTACTCGAACAAAAATATTGACTCATGGTGAGAAAAAACCAATATATGAAAGAGAAAAGAATTTACCCATTCAAGGTGCTGGCTCATGCTTGGAAAAAACCAATCGAAGAAAGAGAAAAGAGATATGCAGTAAATAGGGCGATGTCGTATATATAAGCTACCAACTCTATGGAGATATTATCAATTCACATTTGGCGCAGAACACAACACAATATTCTCCGACACATTCATCATTTATCATTTTTTTGCAAAATGAAGAACTGTTAACAGATCAATCAATAAAATATCAGCATTACAACGTCTCATCTAACAGTAAGTGAAAAAAACTAAAAATGATTAAATTCTATGTAATTTCCTACGACTTGAGAAAATGACGATACGCAGTAAAAAACAAGCCATCTACTTCGGTTTTATGACTATATAACAGACTGATTTGTATTTAATTGAATATAGGTCAGTCTGTTTTTCATTTGATCCGTTTTCAGTATTACATTTCTGCTCTTTGTTATGATCTTATCAGTTTCCTTCTTTATTGCTGATTCTTTCGATCGCAACGTTCACCGACGATTCATATTGAACTCCTCACTATTGCTTAATTTATTTTTAACTCATTACTTATTAGTTTGATTTGTTTTCTTATCTTTTCTCATTTATTGCTTTCATTACTTATGTTATCTCCTCTTATTTTTTCTTCTTCTCTTTTCTCTCGTCCCTCTACTCTCTTCCTCTTCTCCTTTCTCACTGTTACGGACGGTCTGAAGAATGTCTCAACTGCGTCCGGGCTGTAACATTCAACATATATATCTTTTATTTTATCATGCATATTATTCTAACGGTTTGTTATTATTGATGTGCACTTTTTACTTTTCATCACATATTCGTATTCTTCGTTATGTATCGTTGATCAGTTCACTGATTATCTCTATTTTTTCTTTAATCAGATTAACTTAGTGGTACAACTGCAGAATAGGAACACCACTTATTGTTTAATATATGCAGAGCAGATAAAAAATATTGGCGCGACGCATAATCTATATATTGTGATGAATCAATATTAATATAGATGTCATTTGAGAACGAAAGAATTTTATTGAAAAAAAATAATTATACAACAGGACCCAGTAAGAAGTGAAACGCTGAAAATGCCGTTTAAACTGTCATAATCGCCCGTTCTGTTCGGAAACGGTGATAAACGGCAAAGAAAATCGTGATGACCACTTTTCTTGCCGTTTTTATGTCCAGTCAGCGTTTTCAAGCGTTATTCACATTAAATAGTCTCTGAAACGGTTATATGACTCTTTTTTTTTCGTAAAAGACTGAAAAGTGTTTATGATTATCTTCTTTTCCAATGAAAACAGCTGTACATGCTCAAAGTAGTTTAATTTTTTTCAGGCTGTAGTTCCCATAGGTATTTATATTATCGTGAATTTGTGTTTTTTTATTGTTCCAGAGGATGCGTGAAAGACTTTTAGTCCGTTTGGAACTTTCATTTATCTTTGTGATCTGCTGCACTAATTCACAAAAAATTATTCTCTGTAGATTTATGTGAAAAATTGCTCTTTTGATTGAAATAAGGATCTGCATAACATTGACATTATATGAATCAAAACCATATGTAGGTGCGAAAAGTAGAATATCAAAAAAATACATAATGATTTTGTTGATTTAAAGTCTGGATTTCACATTGAAATCCTCACCTTTCAATTATGTTTGAAGCTCGAAATATATGATAACTTGTAAGTTTGTAATATTCTCAAAGATAAAATTCCTGCATTAGTTTCCATCACAAATTACCAGCTCATCTGTATATGAGCTCATTGAAGCTCGTTTCATGACAAGCAATAGAACATTATTAATTATGTGCTGTATATTCCAATTAGAAACGCTAGCCTGGATAAAAGAGGGTGATACTTTTAGTTAATATGTATTCGGCATATGTATGTGACGTAAACAGAACTGATCCCATATACTTAGTAATTGATAGTTAGTCTTAATTCAATTAAAGAGAGAGAGGAAAGAAAACGGAAGAAAGGAAAAAATTACGTCAAGAAGTAGAGAAAAAAGTCAGAGAAGGGGAAAGAAAAAAGAGAAAATGAATTCGTCCAGCAAATTCATTCATTTGACAAAGATTGTTTAAAAAGTAAACTTCACCTCTGCGAGCGATGTGAGTGCACACAAAGATAAGATACATAAATGATATCTGAATTTAACCCAAAATTCTATTCAGTTTACGAGAAAATTCATAAATTTACTGAATAAGAATTGTGAATAAGGATTCTTGCCATCATTTGGCCGCGCTTACAAAACATGAGCAAAACGATTCAGATAACTGTAAGAGAAGTTTTCAGTATTGAATGATATAGAGGATTTAGTTTTACTTTAAGTTCTGTGTTTATTTTCGCTTTTTTTCTTTGAATAGTATTTATGAAAAACTTTCTTGTTCACTTATCGAGATAGTTGACAAAATGAGGTGATTCGTAAAAAGAATTATATAATATAGAACTTGTTTGTCACTTGATAGCATCACATTGCATAATGAAGTCATTAATGAAACTAAGCTGTTTAACATTTTTTAAACTGCTTTGTTAAGATCAACCATGGTGACGTTTCGCTGTAACTAAAAACATTATCAAACACAAATAAATAGAAAGAAGAAGGAAATATATATAAGAGTAAAATAAAGTCTTTGTTTTTTATTCTATTGTTTTAAACATTCTAATGCAGAAGGTTAATTTTAATCTCCATTGCATTAGAATGCTTAAGAGAGCGTCTCTATACGCATCGAGGATGGTGCAGCATATGGTGTGACACATAAAATTTTTGATTTTTGATTCTTTATGTGCATTCGATAGGTCATCATTCGAAACTAAAAACCCCAAATTTTCAGCTCGTTTGAATGTACTATAGTAAAGTTAGGCTTGATTTACTTTTAAGCACTACGTACCTACTACTCAAAAAAAAGTCATAAATTGTTCTATAAATGTCTACTAGGATTTTATTTCTACAAATTATGAAATTTTTTTATGTAATATACCAAAAGATAGAGAATTAAAAACTGTATAAAATGGACTATTAAGAACACCCAATATCATCTGTCTAGTAGGTTTATTTAATCCAACATGAGTAAAAACTACCACATTTTTTGAGTATGCGATGGGTGATTTTTAGCAGTATATCTGCTGCCATTTTTTTAAATCAAGCGGGACCAAGCTGATTTTTACATATGTTATACAACTTTTAATTCTCTACAAAATGGTAAAAAAAATTTTGAAAAAAGTTTTCCCTTCGAGGCGATATAAAGCTTACAATATCAACTTTTGATGGTGGTCATTTGCAGTTTTATGATATAATTCATATAATATTAAAC